CACTGACCATCAGCCTCACTGCATTAACTGATCAGACTCACTGCACTGACCATCAGATTCACTGCACTGACCATCAGATTCACTGCACTGACCATCAGCCTCACTGCACTGACCATCAGATTCACTGCACTGACCATCAGCCTCACTGTACTGACCATCAGACTCACTGCACTGACCATCAGACTCACTGCACTGACCCTTCAGACTTACTGTACTTGACCATCAGCCTCACTGCACTGACCATCAAACTCACTGCACTGACCATCAGCCTCACTGCACTGACCATCAGCCTCACTGCACTGACCATCACACTCACTGTACTGACCATCAGCCTCACTGTACTGACCATCAGCCTCACTGTACTGACCATCACACTCGCTGCACTGACCCTTCAGACTTATTGTACTTGACCATCAGCCTCACTGCACTGACCATCACACTCACTGTACTGACCCTTCAGACTCACTGCACTGACCATCACACTCACTGTACTGACCCTTCAGACTCACTGCACTGACCATCAGCCTCACTGTACTGACCATCAAACTCACTGCACTGACCATCACACTCACTGCACTGACCATCAGACTCACTGTACTGACCATCAGACTCACTGCACTGACCATCAGACTCACTGCACTGACCATCAGCCTCACTGCACTGACCATCAGACTCACTGCCCTGACCATCAGCCTCACTGCACTGACCCATCAGCCTCACTGCACTGACCATCACACTCACTGCACTGACCATCAGCCTCACTGTACTGACCATCAGACTCACTGCACTGACCCTTCAGGCAGCCCTGGACAACCCTGACCACCTCTTCCTCCTGAACCACTCTTTCCCTCTTAGTGTTCTTGCTCATTTTCTGCCTTTCCGGTAGCTAGGCCCCAACTCCCTTTTGAGCGATTCCTCTTCTGCCATTCCCTAATCGGCCTATCCCAGGGTACACTGATGGGCAGCTGACCTCGCACGGTGTCTACTCCAGCTCCACAGCTTCTCTCTGCCCCAGACCGCTATGGCTCTCTTCAGTGCTTGTGACAATGGCCTGTTTCTGGATCAGCAGACCTGGGCTCCATCTGGGTATCACACAAGCACCTCCAACTCAGCGTGTCCCAAACAGACAGAACACACTTGGCTGTCCATACTCCACCCTCCACAGGGAACGTCAGCATTCAACCAGCTGCCCAGGAGGGGATCCCCACATCGCTCAGCTCCTTCCCTCTCTTCACCCCACACCTACATCACAACACCTTGCTTCATTTCCCCTGTCAAATATGCACTTGGCTTCCACAGCCCATGTTTCTGTGGACTACGGAGCTGTCTGCCTCTTTCCATTTCCATCATCAATTACCTGTGATGGGCTAACCCTCCCCCCCCCCCCCCCCCCCCCCAGGCACCAACCCACAGGCTCTAACTCATCCACCTGCCTCAGGACCTATCCTCTCCAGTAATATTTCTTGCCGCACATGGCGTCACGGTGTGTGAACTTTTGAAAACACAAATCCAAGAACCTCTTTCCCTTAAAATCCTTGAATGACTCTCAGCACCCTCCGAACAACAGCCCAAGCCCTCCGTGCAGCTTACAGCACTTGGCTGGGATGTGGCCCTACCCATCTGCCTGTCCTCCCTCCCACCTTCGCCTAATGAAACTCAACCTTCCCAGAACACTGGATTTCCAGGGCTCCTACAGTAGGGGGTGAAACTAATGAGCAAATCAGTGAATGAATGAGCAATGAGCAGGAAAAGTTTAATTAAGAAGCTTTGTGAACTAAGCTTTGAAGGATGATGAGTAAGTTTTTACCAAAAAGGGAGGGCATAAACACCCAGGGAATATAGAAAAAGTAAGTTTCAAGGTACAATAGCACAAAGCCACTGCATCCGTGCCATGTGAGGCTGCAGTCTAAGTCAGAGACACCCTCTGAGAAAGGCTCACGGATGGAGGTGACAGGATCAAGTCTCTGCAAGCACACAGAAACACACCCAACAAGCTGGATACCCTTGCACAATACAACAGCCCAGAGCGATGTGGAAATCCAGGGCTAAATTCTGTGCACAGGAGCGGTGGGAAGAAGTGTTTTTTTTGTGTGTGCTGCTACAACTGGAAAACTGGCCAGCTGCCTATGAAAAGGAGCACGTACTATCTGTGGCAAACACCAGGCAGGTCCATCACGGAGCCATTCATCTGGGCACTGTGGCATCCAAAGGACATAGGGGACCCATCCTGCCTATCGTCAGCTAGTCACCCCAAGATTTGAGAATATGGTTGCAGAACAGAAAGGGGAGGCTGCTTCAGAGCAGACTGCATGAACAGGGACCATAAACTGAAAGTTCAGCAAATCATGCCCAGCCCTCCAGACTAAGACTCTTCTGACTTGGAGAGGAGGAAGTCACTGAATGAAATTCATCTGATTCTAAAGCAGCTGCCCAACGCAGGCTCAGCAGTGCATCTAGGGCCTCCTCCACAGGGCTGTGTGGCTGTCACAGTCTTGAACACATGTTATGCACAGGAGGGATGAACCCTGCAAAACACAGGAAGGCAGCTAGTGGGCTCGCCATACAGGCAGCACAGCAGCCGCCTCCACTATGCACTGGCCTTGTGCTGCAGCCTGATGCTGACTTGATATGAAACTCCAGATAATAAGAGTGGGGATGTACCTCTCTGTCTGCCTAGCCTGCTGTCCTCTTGACCCCGGGGTCAGACCTCTGAGAAGACACCGGAAGCCAGCACCAAGGGATGGTTCCCAGCGCTCTCCCTGAAGGGGCTTTTAGAGGAAGAGGGGCCAGGCGAGCAGAGGCTGGGTAATTACCAGGCCAGCTAGCTCAAGTCCCTTGCCCTGCTCACCTTCCGCTAAAATGCATGGTACAGCATAATCAGGCAATGTGCTTATTAATTGTACTCATTTGACACCACGCTCCTCTGCCCTGGGCTCCATGTTAGGAGAAAATGATAGGGATAGATTCTGCTCCTGTCAGACTTACCAAGACTTCTGGAAAACCAAACTACCAAAGGCCATCTGCTGCCCACGAGCCAGGCATTCAGGATGACCCCAAAGGTACAAATGGACCGTTAAAGCTGCAGACGAGCGAGAGGGAGCAGCAGGAAGCTGCAGAGACCCATGACCGTGCCATGTGCTCCCCGGTAGCACTCTCAGGAGAGCGACCTGGGCCGCCCTCTGCCAGAGCAGCCTGAGAGCTCCTCGCCTGATTCACGGCCTTGCTGCTTCGGGCCTCATTCATCAAAAGACACTTTGGCTTCTCAAACCGGGAACACTTTTATTAGCTTCCCCACCAGCTTTATGGCAAAAAGCCATACCTAATGATTCTATTTTATGGAAAGTTATACATTCAGAGAGTGCTGTGAAGTCAGGCAGCAGGTAAGACTCAAACTTCTGTTGAAAGGGATCCTGTTCTCTCACCCTTACACCAATCATAAACTTGCAGGCCATTGGGAAACTGACAGGTAGCCCTTGAACGTGCCTTTCTCCAGGCCCCAGTCCCGATGGCAGGTGTTCCTGTCGGGAAACGTTCTCACCACTGTTTTCACCTGGGAACACCTAGAGACATTTCTGCTTGTCATCACTGGGAAAGAAGCAGCAGGTGCTGTTAGTATCAAGTGGGCAGAGATCAGCAAGACTGCTGAACAACCCATGATGTACAGAATAGCCCCACAGCAGAGAATTATCTAGTTATCTGACCCCAGATATCAAGCACATTGAGCTTGAAAACCCCTCTTGGGGGCCCGGTGTCATGGCCTAGCAGCTAAAGTCCTCATCTTGAATGCACCACGATCCCATATGGGCACCGGTTAGTATCCTGGCGGCCCTGCTTCCCATCCAGCTCCCTGTTTGTGGCCTGGGAAAGCAGTCGAGGACAGCCCAAAGCCTTGGGACCCTGCACCTGCGTGGGAGACCCAGAAGAGGATCTAGGCTCCTGGCTCCAGATTGGCACAGCACCAGCTGTTGCGGTCACTTAGGGAGTGAATCATCAGATGGAAGATATTTCACTGTCTCTTCTCCTCTCTGTATATATCTGATTTTGCAATAAAAATAATAATAATAATAATAATAAAAGAAAACCCCTCTTGGGGGGCTTTCTGTGGCACTGGACAACCTGCCTACCTGGGTCACAAGATTAATCTGATTACTGACAGGTGTTCATCGCTGTCTAATGACATGTGTGACCTTCTAATGTATTTTTGATGCATGCTATCAAGGAAAAAAATAAAATGTTATAAACACAAAATGAGGAAAGCAGGAATCAGATCCCTTTACATTCTGGGGACACATGGTGCTATTTACTGGGAAGGAGCCCCCTAAGGGCACTCCACGCCTGGTCAGCTCCACCCAGAGAAGAACTCCTCAACTGAAACAGTGCCAAGACTGGTTCCAACCAGTAAGGCCTCGGAACACCAGCACAGACCTGTTCCTGACATCAGGGAGAGGCCTCTGCTCTGGGCTGCAGTGTGGTCTGTCAGAGCCTGGAGCTGGCAGCAAGAGGGCTAGCCTGGGGATCGGCCACGCTCAAGGCCCAGCACTCTGTCACTTCTCAGAGGCTGCGTACCCTTCATAAGCACCAAGTGAGCTGGGCTGACGTACTCTCCCAGGCTTCCAGGAACCGGTGAGAGCTAAACGAGCTCATGGCTCGGAAACTGCAAAGAGCTATGAAGACATGATGACTGCTGACGCACACATGGCAGAATATGACAACCACCAGTCTTTCCCCTGGTCCCTTTTCGGGAAATGTTACAATGACAACTGACCTAGGAAATCAGAGTCTCCAACCTCTGGATGTCACTCAAGCCAAGGTTAAGTCCAGAAAGAGGCCTTCCACCTTCCAAGCCAGGACACTTGCACTCATGGATACCTTCACTCCCCATCTCCCCGAGGTCCTCGAGGCAAGGAATGTCCATACTCAGGGTCCAAAGGCATTGAACGTAGGCGGCAAGCACTGGCTGGATCAGGGAGTGACACACACCAACAAGTAGCCCGACTTACCACGTCGTAGCCTGTGGGGGCACGGTTCCGTGAAGCTACCACCCCGACCCCCGTGAGGGGGTCCAAGGAAGTCTCTGGCAAGGCTTCTGAAAGGTCTTTCACTTCAGGCATGGTGGACTGGTCCTAGTTCAGAAAAGAGAAGAAGGAAGCACAAAATTCAAACTGAGCATCCAACAGGAACAATTCAAGGTTTCAAAGATGGAACATGATCGGGCCAAACACCCTGTGCTCCACCAAATGACTTGGCAGAAGGGACCCCCACCACACCCAACTCTGTCTTCAGGTCAAGATTTCAGCAAATGACCCCTGGCCCCTGCTTCTCTCCTGCGCCATGGACCACTGCGCAGGCACATTGAAGGAGGCTTCCTGCCGCCTCTCACTGAAAGCCAGTCACCCTCCACTCCACCATGCGGCTGCCCAGTTTCTCAGAGGGTACCAGCAGCACCTCTGTGGGCGAACCGGACACGGCTTAGTCAGACAGTCTGACTTTCAATCCTCTCCCTTTCAGTGTCTCTTCTCCTGAGTACTGCACTGGAATCCAGGCTCCACGACGCAGCAGTCGGCGGCTTTAAAAAAGCAATTTAACCTTTTGGAGCCTCATTTTTCTCCAGTACAAAATGAGGTTAGGGTACTGACACACTCCTTGGCTGTTTGGAGAACTAAGAAAGCCAATGTACACGAAGGGCATTGAAGGGGCCCCTGGCACACAGTGGGCAGTCAACAGAAAGCATCTGAGTCTGGAAGGTCCACTGTCACTGGGAAGTTGGAAGCCAGGTGGCCAACAGTCCCCAGGGGACTGGCAGAACCTTCTATGGTGTTTAACACCCCTCACCTCTAAACGGGGGGGATGGAGGGCTGCACTCGGGAAGAAGCAGGGGTCAGGGAGGAAGGTCTACCCCATGCCGACTCCCTTTTGATGTGAGCCAGGGAGACAGGTGGAACGCAGAGAACGTGGGTCTGGGCAGCAAGAGAGGCTGTGCCAGAAAGCAAACAAAAAGGCAACACCCTGCGTAAATGAAGTGAAGCACTCTGAAAAGGACAAGTGACGGAACAAGTGAGATTCCCCTCTCTTCCTTCTGTAGCAATGAACCACCCCGACCCCCTTGCTGGCTGCCCACGGGTCTGCCAGATGCCTCCAGGCCACTTACTGCTTCTAAAGCAAACCCAGTACCCGGCCTAGGGAGGCAGGTGGAGGAATATTCTTACTTCTCAGTCAGCAGAAGCGGAGGTCATTCAAAACGCCTGCAGCCTCCTGAGCAGGAGTGGTCCAAGTGCTGCACACTCGTCACCCCTGGAGTCTGTGATACCCACAAAGGCTGGGACACAGACTCACCCCTGCCACAGAGCCCAGGCCGACTAATGTGAGGTAGAGCCTGGCACAGCTGCACCAGCAGCTTCTGCTGAGGACAAAAGCTACACTGCATTATGTTTAGCTGAATTCTGCTAAAGATATGCTTCTAGAAGGCCAAGACTGTGAGGGGGAGCGGGGCAGGAAACCATGCTATACCATCTCCTGTTTTCAAATTTCGTTCACCAGGCGGAGTTTATCTGCGTAAAGTGTAGGGTTCAGGACTTTCCACACACAGTAGGAATGCAGTAAATATTTACTGAGTAAATGTGCCTGCATGACCCCCCAGCAAAGATCTACACCTGCTTGATCCAAAGCAAGCACCGGTCAGAAGTCTTGATGCGGTGCCTGGAAAAAAACCTGTATCACTGGTGACACAGAAATAGCACTGCTGCAGTTTGCAAAACACGGGTACCTGCTGTTGGTTACCAAAAACACTTTGCAATTAACAACCCATTAACAGAATGTACGAATTATGCCAGTGCTAAAATACCATGCTGTGAATTTAATAAAGAACATGTACTTTTTTTTTCATGATCATACTGCCTTTACTATCAGAGAGAAAGAGAGAGAGATTTAGCAAGGGAGAGAGGAAAGGGGAAGGGAGAAGGTAAGCACAGATAAGAAATCTCTTATCTGGGGCAAATGCAGGTCCTCCATTCCCAAGACCCTCCCAGGAGCACGGCTCTGGCTCCGAAGCACACGGCCTCTCGTGTGGGTGCGCGGGGTCAACACGCCGCGAGACATGCTGCTGCTCCCAGAATGCACCAAGAAGGAAACCCCGGCCGTGGCTTCCAAGATGGCTGCAGGCACCTCGAGCTGAGGCAGACAAGCAGCGGGCTGTGCAGTCCGAGTCCAGGCTGTACAGGCTAGAGGGCCAGCGAGCAGCACCCAGCATCTCGTGCATGCGCTGGCCTCCTCCTTTCCTTCCCTGGGTGGCTGTGCCCGAGGGACCAAGGCAGCCCTTTGTGAAGCAGAGACAAATGGCTCCTTGCAGTGCGGGGCTGTGGCCAGCTCGGCTGTGGGGACTGCGCCACCGCCACCACCAGCCACAGAGGCTTTTAATGAGAAACACCCAAGATATCCACGGCAGAGGCCATCACTCATAGAAGCCTGCCCTGAATTACATATTTTCTGACTGCAAATTACTTCTAACAGCATCTCCACTGGCACTTCAATTGACCTTCCTAACAAAAGGCCATTTATTAACTAGCACTCCAGGCTTTCCCAGGACCTCCGCTGCCTTGAGCCAGAAGGGATGACACCTCCTAGGACTCAGTGGCCAGGGGTCACAGGCCGGACTTTTATAGGGGAAAGCAGAGGCCCTGAGGGAGCAGGCCAAGGGCACAAGATTTTTAAAACCAGCATTAACCTGTCTTTCAAGAGGTGCTACTGAGCCAGCACAAGATACTCAGGCCCTCCGGGAACTACCCAGGTTTCATTCGGGCAGCTCTGCACCCAGCATCCGCTCTGTCTGGAAGTCCCAGCCACTCTGTTCTGCTGTGTGGCGCTGTGCAGTTCTCAGGAGGCATCCCTGGGTTCTTCCTCAGCTCATGTGCAGAGCCAGCTAGGGAGGTGGCTGGCCTGTGTCAGCCCGGTCTTACAGGAAAGCAAACCAAGACCCAGCAGGCAGACTGCAGAGCCGGACGGGACCCCAGTCCTAGTGCCTCCTGGTCCGCTTTCCCTTCGCCCCACCCGACGGAGAGAGCGTTCCGACACTAATTACGGTTTGAAATGCCAGCGCTCTTCTATCTCTGTCCACAGCTCAATAAGTCAAGGCGGAAGGAGAAAAGTAGAGAAAGATAAAAGTAACAAGGGATTAATTTTCCTCACACCTCAGTTTCAAGATGCAACATTCCCCTCATAAATAATTTACAACAATAAAAATGAGCTAGGACCACGTTTGCGTAGGACGGAGGTAAATTTAGGCCTAATGAGGGAGATCTGTGTGGCACGCAGGAGGGGACGGGTTGATGTACGGCCTGGGGCGGGCGGGATCCACAGCACACAGGGGCTCCATTACCAGGGGAAGTAGAGGGGCCAACACAGAGGAGAGACGCCAAGTGGGGAAATGCGTGCCATCCCAGCTGCGCTTACAAGGAGCGCCTCTACTGGGAAAGCCACAAGTTGACCCAGTGTTTTGGTTGACAAGAGAATGAATGACGAGATTTTTCCAAAACGACAGGATTGAGCCAGCCTGAATCTAATTCCATTCTCAATAAATGTCAGGTAAGGAATGCAGGTGGGGGGGTGCCTGGAAGTCACGTCAGCTGCTGGGCATGGCGACACAGACCTTGCGCTGATCCTTGCAGATTTGGCCCCAATCCTCATTCCACCCTCTCTGGCGAACCAGCCCAGCATTTGTCTGCCAGGTCATGCCCAAGGCTGAGGGGAGCCTAAGTCTGCCACTGGAAGGCCTGCACATGTGTGATCTGGGCAACACGGGAAGGGAGAGGGTGAAGAGCTGTTCATGCCAGATTTAATGAATAGCATGCAGGTCCGGGAGGGGCCCGTTTGTTGCTCTGACCTGCAGTGCTGCACCAAGGGCTGGGGCTGGGGCTGGGGCCAGGGCCAGATCCCAGTGCTCCCGCACTGCCCAGCACTATTATCCCAGGTTCACAGAGAAATGAACTTTGAAGCCCCTTCAAGCAGGCAGCACACAGCTCCCTTGCAGCTGATCAAAGAATTACTAAAATCAAGAGCTTAATTTCTCAAAGTGGGCAGTGCTGGGTTTAGTGCATGGATGCTCAACATTGTTTCTGAATCAAAGGCACCAAAGGGGAGGAGCAGGAGCTACTGTATCACAGCTGAAAACTCAGGGAAACTTTGATATCATCTCTGTTTAATTTCCACTGCCCTAGTGAGCCTGGGATTGACCGGTTTTATCAATTCCAGGACCGAAATCAAAACCTGACTAATGGAGCTCAGACCTCAACCTGAGAGGCCTTTCCGGCAGGCCGAGGAGTTTAAAGTGCTTTCAGGGCGACAACTGCAGGGGGCAAGGGGCGCTTCCTTCAAAGGAGGTACACCGGCACCCCAGCCTCCCTGACGTGGCGAGGAGGGCAGGCTCAGAAGTGGGGCGAGTGCCACCCACCAGGACTGCAGGCACCACTGGCACACAGCTTTCGAGGAGAGCAATTTCAAAGTATCCAAAGGGAACAGATTAACCCAGACTACTATACTTGAAATGACAAAAACAGTGGGTTAATTAAGTTCCTACTAAAGGACGAACTTGTGATCTGCTTGCCTGAAATCCAAAACCAAGGGCTCCAAAGGCATAAACTGCCCAAAGACATCTACCAGCTCGAGGAGCTGCGGAAGGGGAGGGAAGAAATGTTTCACACACAAGAGCAGGGTGGTCGTGAAAGTTGTCCGTCCCTGGTGAGGGCTGCTGCTGCAGCTGCTGTGGGGAGGTTCTTGGCCCATTCCCAGGAGCACCAACAATCTGCTCAGACACCCTAGCATGACCTCGGCTGTAAACTGCAAGCAGGAGATACAAGAACACTGCCCTGTCCCTGCAGAGGGAGCCCCTGGCCAGGCTCCACTGAAGTGCCTTCACAAACACAGGGCCAGAGATGCCCTCCTTAGAGGGAACAGCCTGGGGTGCGTGCAGCATGTAGCACCCAGGCAAATGTGCAGCCAGCTCTTGAGACTGCCCTGAGGGACCACGCACAGGCTGGCCAGTGTCACAACGGAGACACATGCTGGCATGATGCGCCTTGTGTGGTGCTCGGGACAGCATCCCAGAGCCTCCCCAGCTTTGGTCTGGGCAGAT